TTTAAGGTTCTGCTTCGAGAGGAAGAACTTCCTTCTCCATCAGCCTCTCAGCGCATGGATATTTTTGTCCCAACAGACTTTGTCAAGTTTCCAGAAGACCTTTAATAAATCTATGAAAGAACCAAAACACAGGATTGTTTTTGTGACAAAGACTCATGTTCCAATGGTTCCATCAGAGAACATCCAGAGTTCTAGGAGTCAATGGAAACTCAGACCAAATGATAAACACGGACTTTATAGTGACGCAAACTTTGGTTCGCAGCTGTAAGCTAATTGTTATTCATTAAATATACAGAACATTTTGAGAACAAAGTCACAAATTTTCAAGTATTTTTTTTTTAACAAATAATGAGCCTAATTGTCTGTAATGGTCAGATTGGTTGGTTTATCCCATTAGGTTTCCCAGCGGTCGTCATGGTGATCACACTGGCAGCGACCTATAGAGTGGATCATCCTCTGGGATACAGACAGGAGGAATTGTGGGTATTTGTGTTTTTACTGTCTGCTTTTATTAAACTGAAATATGCTGCACCAAACATCCATATAAAACTACATGTTTTCATTATTTTTCATTTTCATTCATGTATATTTACATTTTTTTATTTTATTGATTGATATCTCCCATTTAAAACACAACTGTACAACAGTAAAAGCAGAGGCCCAGGACTTCTTGAATTATCCTCTTAGATTTATATATTTTCTGTTTTATTCATGTGTATATTTACATTTTTATATTTTTATTCATGTACATTGTAATTTATAAAAAATGTATTAATATAAGTTTTTTAAAACATTTGTATTCATTTACATTTACATGTTTTCGTGTTGAAGCTGCTGGCTTGCAGCTCTGGATAAGAACCAAGAATTCAGCTTTGAGAAGCCGATGTTCTTGGGTTTCGTGCTTCCAGTCGGTCTGATCCTCATCTACAACGTCATCCTGCTGGTTCTTACCTCCATGACCACCTGCAGGGTCAACCCCAACTTGACCAGGTACGGTCCAAACAAACCCACCTGACCAGGTATGGTCCAAACAAACCAACCTGACCAGGTATGGTCCAAACAAACCAACCTGACCAAGTACAGTCCAAACAAACCAACCTGACCAGGTACAGTCCAACCACCCCATCCTGACCAAGTACAGTCCAACCACACCAACCTGACCAGGTACAGTCCAGACAAACTACTCTGACCAGCTATGGTCAAACAAACCAACCTGACCAAGTATGATCCGCACAAACCAACCTGATCAGGAACAGTCCAACCACCCCATCCTGACCAAGTACAGTCCAACCACACCAACCTGACCCAGCACGGTCCAAACAAACCAACCTGACCAGGTACAGTCCAACCACACCAACCTGACCAGGTACGGTTCAAACAAATCAACCTGACCAGGTAACGTCTAAACCAGTGGTTCTCAACTGGTGGGTCGCAACCCAAAAGTGGGTCACGGGGCCGTTTTTGGTGGGTCGTGGGCCTTTCCCCAGAGAGAGAGAAAAATAATAATAAAATAATAATAATAATAATCAAATTTAACGGAGAGTCGTTGCAGTTCCCCTCTGCAACAATAGGGGGTGGTAGTATCGGCAGCTGGGACACTCGCATTGCTGTACAAGAAAATGCATGTTTACATTTGATAGCGATAGCAGCATGGCTAAATGCACTACATCGAGGACAAAGGAGTCCAAAAGCCTCAGTGTATTTTGTGCTGTGAGGTGCTGGCAAGTGAAAGCATGAAGCCGTCTAAAATGATTCGCCATTTGGAAACAAAGCACTCCTTGCTGACACAAAAAACTGTTGATTACTTTTGCAGACGGCTTCAAGATCTGAGGACATCGCAACAGTGCCTTGCTTCTACATGCTCAAAGCAAGAGAATGCCCTTCATGCTTCTTATTTGGTGGCATATCGTGTTGCAAAGTTGAAGGAACCCCACGCTATCGCTCAGGACTTAATTTTACCCGCTACAATACACATCGACCTTTGGCCTAAGGCACTTTGGTACCAGGTACACTTATGAGCAACCTTATGTTTGAACATGGTGTTTGTTATGGCAAATCAGGGGCTAGCACAGAAGTCCAAAAACCAGACACCGCTCGGGTTCAGATCGGGCAGGCCATTCCTCCCAATCACACCCATCCAGGTTTCACTCTCATTGCCCACGTGAGCATTGAAGTCCCCCAGGAGAACTATGGAGTCCCCAGGTGGCACCCCTTCCAGGACACCACCCAGTGACTCCAAGAAGGCCGAATTCTCTGAGCTGCCACTTCGTGCATAAGCGCAAATGACAGTCAGAGTTTTCCCCTCCGCAAGACGCAGTCGCAGAGAGGCGACCTTCTTGTTCTCCGTGGAGATCTGCAACAAGGCAGCACTCAGCCGGGGGCTTGTGAGTATCCCCACACCCACCCGGCGCCTCTCACCATGGGCAACTTTGGAAAAGGAGAGAGTCCAACCCCTCTCCAGGAGTTGGGTTCAGGAGCCATTGGTGTGCATAGAGGTGAGCCCGACTATATTCAATTAAATTTTTTTTGTATAGCGCATACTGACAACAACAAGTCATCTCATAGCGCTTCACAAAGGCAGAAACAGAAACACCCAACAATCCAAAACATTTGGATTCCCTATAAGCTTCAGCAGTCCGCAAGCAGTCCGCAACAGTGGGAAGGAACCGAAAGACCCCACGGGGAAAAAAAAAAAACTCCGACAGAACCAGGCTCAGGGAGGGACGGCCATCTGCCTCGACCAGTTGGGTGGATATAGGATGAATTATAAAATTTAGTTTACAGTTAATGTCGCGGGGTTCAACCAACAACTTTCCCCAAACTGGGAGAAAACGATGGCGTAGACATCAGCTGTGGTTTTAGATTTATTTTCAGGCCTCTCCAAAGTGCGACAGTGAAAATAGAATATTTACAAAGTGCAACAAAAAAAAAGTGCAAAAACCCAATTGTAAAAATAAGCAAAGAAAAAGAAAAGAAAAACTCTATATACAGATCTATATACACACACCAGCTCTCCTTTAACTCCAGCTTCAAAAACTCCGACCAACACTGTCACTATCACTGTCTCCAACTCCGACTCTAAACTCCAACTGCTCCCACACTCAATCAGGCCCAGAGCCCTTGGTTTTAAAGGCCAAGCCCCTCCCACTGGGCGTACCCTTTACAGGTAAAAAATACAAAAATTACATAAACAGTGTTTTCTAACAGTTTCCCCCAGTTCACCCCTGCGATGGGAAACACAGAATTCTCAGTCAGGGGACAGGGGTAGGGTTCTCACAGTAACCCATCGGCAATTCAAAGAATAACGTTTAAAGGGAAAATAACAAAATGTTGCGCATCATGTGACCGGCAACTGCGCGGGCCCATACCATCTTAAGGCGGCTGATGGTATGGCCCGGGTTTGCCCGCCAAGCATTCCAGCCAGCTGCCCACCACTGCAAACGGAGGGTGAGTGTGTGTGTGCATGTATGGACGAGAGAGAGAAAGTATCGCTGCAAGTGTGCACCCTTGGTCACGATACTTAACAGCAGGAAGTGAAATAGAATGAGGTGTGAGTGCAGGTTATTGTAAAGTTTGTAAATGGGTGTGGGTATGTGTGTGTCCTGTGTGTGTGTGTGCTACGCGGCGGGTGCGCCACGTCAGCATGCCGGCCCGCTAACCTCAGCTAGTGACGGCGTCGCTCCGTCACAGTTAAACAAGTTATTAGAAGTTATTGTCCTTTTGTAACAGGAGGCATCATGGTGGGGCAGCAGAATGCAGAAGGTGAGGCCAGCGGCTGTAGTTCAGGAGCTCCAGATCCAGAGACATCCACAGAGAGAGCAGGCGCAGGAGAACCTCGGGGGGAGTCACAGAGTTAGTCATATGTAATGGTGATAGGCAACTATAGAAACATATACATACACATATATATAAAGAGGAGAGGAGAGGAGAGAAGCCCAGTGCATCATGGGAATCCCCCGGCAGTCTAAACCTATAGCAGCATCACTAAGGGACAGCTCAGATGACTCCGAGCAGCCCTAACTATGAGCTTTATCAAAAAGGAACCTAGCCGGTAACGCTCCACCTCCCGCACCAGCTCAGGCTCCTTCCCCGCCAGTGAGGTGACGTTCCACATCCCAAGAGCTAGTCTACGCCACCAGGGCATAGCACCTGACCCCGATCCTCTGCCCTGAGGGTGGTGGGCCCTCTGGGTATGACCCTGTGTTACTTTTTCGGGCTGTGCCCGACCGAGCCCCACAGGCCCCAAGGCTCGGCCACCAGGTGCTCCCCGGCGAGCTCCCTCCCAGGCCTGGCTCCAGGAGGGTTCTCCAGTCTACCTTTTCCGGGTGAGGTGGCGGCTGTCATTTTTCTGTTTTTCATCTGGGTCTACCTGGTACCAGAGTACCTTAGGCCAAAGGTCGAGGATCGACTTCGTAGTCGTATCATCAGATCTGCGGCCATATGTTTTGGACACTTGGGTGAAGAGAGGAGCAGAGCTGTCAACTGATCACCACCTTGTGGTGAGTTGGAGCCGATGGTGGAGAAGGCTGCCGGACAGATCCGGTAAACCCAAACATGTAGTGAGGGTGAACTGGGAACGCCTGGTGGAGGCCCCTGTCCGTGGGGTTTTCAATTCCCACCTCCGGAAGAGTTTCTCCTGCATCCCGGGGGAGGTTGGAGACATGGAGTCAGAGTGGCCCATGTTCAAAGCCTCCGTTGCAAAAGCGGTCATTAGGAGCTGTGGTCAGAAGGTCACCAGTGACTGTCACGGCGGCAAACCCAAAATCCGCTGGTGGACACCGGCGGTGAGCGAAGCTGTCAGGCTAAAGAAGGAGACATTTTGGGCCTGGCTGGCTCAGGGGTCTCCTGAAGCAGCAGGCAAGTACTGGCTGGCCAAAAGGGCTGCAGCTGTGGCGGTCGTGGAAGCTATAACTCGGGTGTGGGAGGAGTTCAGGGAAGCTATGGAGAAGGACTTTCGGTTGGCCCCGAAGAAGTTCTGGCAAACCGTCCAATGCCTCCGAAAGGGGAGGCAGGGATTCAAGAACTGCTGACCTAGACTGGGGATCTTGTCGAGCGGTGGAAAGAGTACTTTGAGGAACTCCTGAACCCGGTAAATATGTCCTCTGCTGAGGGGGCAGAGCCTGAAGACTCACGGGCTTCTGCATCCATATCCATGGTGGAGGTCCCCAAGGTAGGTGAAAACTTCCTCGGTGGTAAAGCGCCAGGTGTGGAAGAGATTCGCCCCGAGATGCTGAAGGCTCTGGACATTGTTGGACTGTCATGGCTGACACGTCTCTTCAATGTCGCGTGGGCATCGGGTACAGTGCCTGTGGAGTGGCAGACCGAGGTGGTAGTTCCTATTTTTAAAAAGGGGGACCGGAGAGTACGTTCCAATTATCGAGGTATCACACTTCTCAGCCTCCCCATGAAAGTTTACTCTAGGGTGCTGGAAAGGAGACTCCGGCTGATTGTCAAACCTCAGATTCAGGAGGAGCAATGCAGATTCCATCCTGGTTGTAGAACAGTGGACCAGCTCTTTAGCCTTGCGGAGCTGCTGAGGGGGGCATGGGAATTCGACCTGCCAGTCCACATGTGCTTTGTGGATCTGGAGAAGTCCTGTGACCGTGTTCCCTGAGGGACTCTGTGGGGGGTACTGAGGGAGTATGGGGTACCAGGCTCGTTGCTACGAGCCATTCGGTGCCTGTACAACCAAAATGTGAACTGTGTCCGCATTCTCGGCAATAAGTGGGTGTTAGGGTGAGGAGGGTGTCCAGTTTGGGAACCTCAGGATCATGTCTCTGCTTTTTGCAGATGACGTGGTCCTGTTGGCTTCATCAGACTGTGACCTTCAGCACGCACTGGAGCAGTTTGCAGCCGAGTGCGAAGCAGCGGGGGCGTAGATCAGTACCTCCAAGTTGGAGGCCATGGTTCTCTGCCAGAAATCGGTGGATTGCCACGTCCGGGTGGAGGAGTTGCTTCCTCAAGGGAGGGAGTTGTATCTCGGGATCTTGTTCACGAGTGATGGGAAATTGGAGCGTGAGGTGGACAGGCGGCTCGGTGCAGCGTCAGCAGGAATGCGGGCGCTGTACCGGACCGTCATGGTGAAGAGAGAGCTGAGTTGCAAGGCGAAGCTCTCGATTTACCAGTCCATCTACGTCCCAACCCTCACCTATGGTCACCAGCTTTGGGTCGTGACTGAAAGAACGAGATCACGGATACAAGCGGCCGAAATGAGTTTCCTCTGCAGGGTGGCTGGGCTCAGCCTTAGAGATAGGGTGAGGAGCTCGGACATCCGGAGGGAGCTCGGAGTAGAGCCGCTGCTCCTTTGCGTCGAAAGGAGCCAGTTGAGGTGGTATGGACACCTGATTCAGATGCCTCCAGAGAGGTTTCCTCTTGAGGTTTTCCGAACACGTCCACCTGGAAGGAGACCCCGGAGCAGACCCAGAACCCGCTGGAGGGATTATATCTCTCGGTTGCCCTGGGAACGCCTTGGGATCCCCCAGGAAGAACTGGAATGGGTCGCCAGGGGCAGGGAAGTCTGGGACGACCTGCTACGTCTGCTGCCCCCGTGACCCGGCCCCAGATAAGCGGAAGATAATGGATGGATGGATGGCAATAGACACGGTGAAAGAAGTGATGGATCAGTCCACTGCAGACAAACTAGAAACTATACCCCTGTCCAACGACACCGAAAGTCAGCGAATTGAAGACATGTTGCATGATATCAAACAACAGATGACAGCCCAATTTCACACAAGTGGTCATTTTGCCATACAAATGGACGAATCTACAGATGTATCAAGCAAGGCAGTTTTGATTGTTTACATGAGACGTGTGGGAAGGAAACTTTCAAGAGCAGTTTCTATGCACAAGAGATCTACCAACCACCACAACCGCTGAGGAAATATTTAGTTCTGTGGATCTGTACTTGAGCTCCGTGGGCCTAAGCTGGGACATGTGTGTTGGTGTCACAACAGATGGAGCAGCCTCCATGACAGGGAAAAACTTGGGAGTCATGAGGAGAATACTGGAGAAGGCTCCCAGTGCAACCTGGAACCATTGCTTTTTACACCGAGAGGCCTTGGCATCAAAGGATATGGGACACGTACTCCACGAAACATTAAACGATGTTATACAAGTGATAAACGACATCAAGCAGAGTGCAAAGAACAGCCGATGTTTTCAGAAGCTGTGCCAAGATCTTGGAAGTGAACATTTGCAGGTGTTGTATCATGCTGAGGTGCGTTGGCTTTCCAGGGGAAAAGTTTTGTCCCGTTTCTGTGAACTACGAGCTGAAATTGCTGCATTTCTTAGCCAGAACAACTCCCCTCTTGCTGACATTTTTAATAGCAAGGGGTGGCTTGCACTTGTTGCATACCTTACTGATATTTTTGAACATTTAAACACGTCAAATACGTCTGCGCAAGGAAGGGGACACAACATTCTTGAACAACGTGATACAATTGACGCCTTCAAAAAGAAGATCTCCCTGTGGATAAACCATGTTTCTAACAAACGACTGGATATGTTTCCTAATGCTTGTTACGAGGAACAACAACTGGACACGGCGGGGAAAAAGACAATGATGAAAATAATAACCACGCACCTGAATAAACTTTTTGAGCGGTTTAATGACTACTTTCCTGAGAAACAGCCAGAGGACGACTGGGTGCGTGACCTGTTTGGAATAAACATGGAAAGCATCACGTTGCCGAGCAGCGAAGAATGTCAGCTTGTGGAGCTATCCTGTGACCGCACGCTCAAAAAGAAATTCACAGAGGTAAGCCTTTCCCAGTTCTGGTGCAACGCTGTGATGAGAGAGTATCCCTCCATTGCTTGTCGAGCAGTAAAAATCCTCCGACCATTCAGCACCACTTACCTCTGTGAATGTGGCTTCTCAGCTCTAATTCAGCTGAAAACAAAATACCTACGTAGACTGGACATTGAGCATGACCTCAGAGTTGCTTTGTCAACCATACAGCCAGATACTGAGACTCTTGTAAAGGCCAAAAAGCATGCCCAGCTAGCCCATTAGAGCTCCATGCAGTTCTACATTGCTTTTGATGTGACCTTTGTTTAAGTGTAAGTAGTTATTTGCCTTAAAATTGTGTTAATTGTACTTAATCAGTTTACATATTTTGCACATTTTTTGCACTTGTTTCAATAGATAGTTTCTCCAATAATAACACAGTGATGTTGCAGACTTGCAGTCTTATGAGAAGCTATTGTGTTCTGTTGAATTGCACTTTTTTGTGTTTTTTGGAGAAAAAGAATTGCCCTTTCAGTTCATATATTTTGAAAACTACCTGAGGTTGTTCAAATAGTTTGTTTTAATAGTCCTCAGTACTTGAATTAGTATTGCTGCTTGTTTTTGAGTTGTTATACTGAATCTGAAATTTCAGGTTTAAAGTTTTGCATCAGAACATTCACTTAATAATTTTTTGATTTTTGGATAAATAATGTTTGGGTCACGGCTTGTCATTTTAAGTTGATGGTGGGTCCCGGACCCAGACCAGTTGAGAACCACTGGTCTAAACAAACCAACCTGACCAGGTAACATCTCATTGAAAACATACTTCAAAGAATTTGTCGCTATTCGAGAAAACCAAATGCATTTAAAAGCAACACACCACTTGCAGAGAAAACTAAGAACTGAATCAAGTCGTGTGTTATTCTTCGACTAAATGAAAGTGGCACCAAACTCTAATGCTGTGTTCACACCAGACGCAAGTAAAATCATTCGCGCGAATGATTTACATGTAAAGCCGATGTGAAGACACGAGTAAACGTCCCGCGGCACGATAGACGCGAATTGAGCGAGTTTGACGTGCATTTGAGGCGATTTAGACATGCGTATCGCGCGTTACGCATGTCTAGAGAGAAAATTGAAAAATCTGAACTTTTGCGATCTGACGCGCCGCGATGGCCAATCAGCATTGAGATTCTCTGGTGAAGTCAAGAACATGATTCATTCATTTTTTGCAGCTTCACTGATTACTGATAGATTTACTCACCCCAGGAGAAAAGCAGTTACATTACTGGCCAGGGCAGATGTCAGTGCTCAGCAGACGGGCTGTCCCTCTCCTCCCGTTCACACACAAGAATGATACCCTTCAACTTAGCAAGCTAGCGAACCGAGTTGCTAGCTATCGCAATGCTAGCGGGATAAACCTCCGCTGGCTCCTCGTCGCTGTGGTCAATGTACTCCTGCTTACGGCCGCTCGTCCGTGTTGTTGTATGTGACACGGAAAAAACATGGCTCTATGTCAGCGAGCGCCTGTAGTTAGTGTCCTGGAGGGATGTCCTGGTACCGATCCTCTCCAACAGGTAGTCAAACTGGGTCCGGATCAGCCGACAACAGCGCTGGAAGCGGCCGTCATCCAGGCGCAGCTCCTGAAGAAGGTGGCCAATGACTTGAATTCAGACACAAATCTTGATGCGCGCTAGACGCGATTTATACGCGCGAATGAAGCGAGTAAACTCAGTGCCCACACGCGTCCAAATATGCGCGTAACGCGCAAATAGTGCAATGAATTCGCGTCTGGTGTGAACACAGCATTAGGATCTCATATTGTTTTGAACCCTGACGTCGACCGTCAGGTGAAAAGCATGATGTTTACTTTGATGTAGGTGAGGTAATTTAGGTTTCTTGTGTTTTCGGTGGCAGCACCAATCAGTCGAGTCTGGCGAGGAGGGTTCTGATCAGCTTCTCTCTGGCCGTGATATTGGGTTCTTCCTGGACTCTGGGTTACCTGGTTCTCGTCACCAGCGGACACATCCACTACGTCTTCAGCATCGTCTTCTGCCTCTTTACCACCACACAGGTTCGTCTGTTGATTAATGTAGACCTCTGATGGAACTAAAACATATTTGTCTTCTGTCAGCAACACAAATCCAGTTCTGTTTGTCATTGTTCATGAATTGTTTTCAATGAAAACTGGTAAAGGTAGAGGTAACGCTGAAGGAAGTCAGCAATTTTGAGAATTAACTCAAATATTTCAAGAAAATTTGATTTTCTATTTTTTTAAAGTACAATGTTTATAATATAAAGTTCTTCAGCTGTCGAGGCTCCGAAGGCGAAGTTCAGAACAAAAACAGAGATTTTCAGGTCGTGTTCTGGTGTTTTCAGGGATTTCAGATCTTCATCCTCTTCACGGCGAGGAAGC